AAATAAAATAAAATAACAAATATTAGAAGATGTTTGTGGGAAAAACAAAGTGTAGACCACGGTGGAAATCTGTGTGGTGATTCCTCAAAAAACTAGGATTAGGCATTTCATTTGTTCCAGCTATTTTACTTCTGTGTATTTTTTTCAGAAAAATTAAAAACAGCATACACAGTCACACGTGCAACCATGTTTATAGCAACACTGTTTGCAATAGCTTGGAAACAACCTAAATGCTCATCAACCAAGGAGTGTATAAAATGATGTAGTATTTTTATACCATGGAGTGCTACTCAGATATACAGGACAAATGATGTTGCTATAGGTAAATGGATGTAACTAGAGAACATATTCATAAGTGAAATAAATCAGACCTGCATATATCAACATTGTATTTCCTCCCTAATGTAAGAAACTAAAAGAGTAAATAAAATCCATAGTATATAATATATATTGTAAAATGGGAGAAACTGCTTATAATGAAAGAACAACTGAGATGGGGGTAAACGAAATAAGAAGGAAAAGAAAAGAAACAATATTACAGAAGATATTATGATAATTATACTATTAATTTTTAGCTGCCAGTGTTTTCTTTATTAATTTTAATTAGTTCATTGAAAAGAATGGTTTGTGCACACACACACACACACACATATATATGTATATATATTCTATTTTATTTTTTATTTATTATTATTTTTTTGTGGTACCAAGGATTGAACTCAGGACCCTGCTCTTGCCAGGGAAGTGCTTATTCTACAAAGCTATCTCCCTGATCCCTAAAGTTGAGAATGATTTTTTTTCTTTTTGCCTGGGTCAGGCTGCCTTAAATTTGGGTCTGATAATACAGGTGGTGGTGGGGATCGAACCACAGTATCCTGCGCCTGACTGAATTTGCATGAACAGACACTTGAACAACTGAGCTAATGGACGGGCCTCCTGTGATTATATTTTTGATCAATTTTCATGTGTATATCTTCTAATTTGAACAACTACTTTGAAGATAACAATATGCAATATATTAATCACTGATAATTTCCTACTATCTGATTTTAAAATTGCGTATCATTGTTTTTATTGTTTTCTCTATCCAAAATAAAAAAAAATATTGGGTTAATTATGCTCATTGCCTTAAAACAAAGCAAAATTTGAACACTAAGTTTACCAAGCTATATCATTAGGTTTATAAATGCTACATTACTACTACCTTATAACATATCACAGATAACTTTAACTGTTTTAAACAAATAAATCACTGAGCCAGGGAGATTCCTCAGTAGAAGAAATGCTTGCTTGATAAGTGCAAGGGCCTGAGTTCAATCCCTGGTTCTGCCAAAATAAACAAACAAACACCCAACAAACAAAACAGCAACAACAATAACCAAAAAAAGTAGATAAATCACTGAAATTGTGTTCTGCCCATTGTAATTTTCCTCATTATATACATATTTTAAGAAATGTTTTTAAGTGTTTTTTCCTCCAAAGACTTACAAATATATTCATTAGAGTCCAATAAGAAATCACAGTGCTAATTTGAACAAGAAATATTTAATATAAAAATTAGTAAGTGGTAATAAATATTTAGTTACAATGACAGGAATTGCATTCCAGGAGACACCTCCAGAAAGGAATAAGATTGAAAAGAGGATATTCTGCCCTAGTGGAAACTTCAGAATTATTAGGAGTATATCAATGTGGACCCTTTTGAATATAGAGAGGTTCTTTCAGTCACCCTAGGTGAGACTGCTCCAAAGATGGTTAGCTGAAAATGGAAAAAAATGAATTTATGGAAACAAAGTTTGTTGCAGGGTGAATGCCATAAGATAGCATGAACAAAAACCATGGCAGTTGTGATGTAGGAACAAAAAGGGAAGAGCCACATTGGGACTATGCAATAGCTTTCCTGTCATTGAGACACAATATCCAAAATTCATAGTTTACAGAAAGATTTAATTTGACTGGTGGTTCCAGAAGATTAATTCCATTTTCATCAGGTTTGAAGGCAAGAACATCGTGGTGGGATGGCATAGCAGAATAAAAATGTTCAGCTCAAGGTGGCAGAGAAACAGAACAGGGGAACACTACCAGAGAGGCAGCACATAAGCACCAGATATAGTACTGAAGGCCACAACTTAGTTATCTACCTAGACATATGGGAAATTGTTTCCACTTTACTATAGCCTCAGGAGCTCATGAGACAATCAAGATCACATAAGTTTTACCATCACAGACTGGGAAGAGAAAGTTCTTCCTTCAGTAATGCTCATTCTACTTTCTTTCAAAACAAGTAGCAAAGTGGAAAGCTTTACAGAATCTAGTTCCAGTACTATAGATTTCTGATTTGGTGTCAACAGACAATGAAATGATAATTGATAAGAGCTTTTTGATTGACACAGAATAAAAGGAAAAGCTGATACTTTTTATTAAGTATGATACTTGTAGTTTTCTGCAACACATCTGTTGTTATGCTGATGAAATGAAATTCCACATGATTCTATGCCCATTGCTCTTCCTGTTGGCATTCATTGATTAGAAATCATTTTAACAGCCCTGAAATTGTGTCATCTCCTGGGAAAGCAGTTAACTATGAAACTTTCTACATGTTGGGGCTTGAATTTCTTTGTCAATAAATTCTATCTAGAATTAAGAATAAGGGGCTAGGGGAGATAGCTCAGTAGAATAAGTGCTTGCCTGGCAAGCACAAGGGCTTGAGTTCAATCCCTGGTTCTACAAAGAAAAAAAGAAAGGATTAAGAATAAAATGTGTTTTCCTCTTTTACACATAAACTTGCTAGCATTCTAAATGTTTTATGAATTTTGTTGAAATATATAACAATATTTTCATGAAAATATACAGATATTCATAACATTAAAAATTATACCTTGCTAATGTAATTTGCTTGGAAGAAACCTAATGAGGACATGTGAAAACAAATGAAAGAATCTGGAAAACAGGTGTTCTTGGAACAAAATCAATTTCCTTTTTTTGTCAGTTTTATCTTTAGCACTGTTCAATGTTTATTGTATTTTAGGACTCTGCTAAAATGAAGACTTAAGATTAATTCACTTTCAGCATTTGCATTTTTATTGCCAAAATCACTGTACAGTGTCATATTATCCAAACTAAAAAAAATGCCTTCACCTCAAAATGTACAAGAGAACAAAACTAGAATTACTGGTGTAGGGAGATAGCTCAGTAGAATAAGTGCTTCCCTGGCAAATGCAAAGGCTTGAGTTCAATCACCTGTTCCACAAAAAAACAAAAAACAAAACAAAAACCCACCTAGAATTATAATTATAACTTTTTAAAACATGTAATATTCTTCTTTATGTATTCTAGTTCAGGGTCTACAGTATCTGTCTTCACAGATTAGAATTGCAATGATCCTCCTGTTTTCAGCCTACTAAATGCTGGGATTACAGGTGTGCACCACAGTTCCTAGTTTCAGTCTCTGCCTCAGGGTGTATGGAAGATGGGATTGGTGTGGCACACTGGGGATCGAAACCAGGTCCCTTTGCCTTCCTAAGCAGGTATTTTGGTCCACTGAGCTATCTGGGGGGACACATAACATTGTTAAAGACAAAAAATATTGTATTTGATTAATATGAAGAGAATAGCACTGATAATATAGCTCAGTGGTATAAACACTTTCCTGGCAAGCACAAGGTCCCAAGTTTGATCCTCAGTACCACACACACACACACACACACACACACACACAAATCAAACTGAAAAAAAAATTTGCAATCATAAATATACTATATAGATAATCTTATGTGTGTTTATACTGTTTCTTAAGAATGACGGCTATAATTGTCATATTTTTCAAACAATGGCTGATCAAAAATTATTATGAACTTCTGAGTAGTAAATAATAGCACAGGGAGCAAGATTACATAATTTTTGAAATTTTTAGTATATTATTCTCATTGTTTAATAACTTTAATTACCAATTTAGAAAAAATAAAAAAATAAAAAAGGGCCATGGAGATAGCTCAATAGAATGAGCACTTGTCTGGCAAGTGCAAGGGCCTGAGTTCAATTCCCAGTTCCAGGAAAAAAAAAAAAAGTAAAAAAATACAAAATAAAGTACATAACTTAGGAAACAATTACAAAGAAAGATAATAATAAATTAGAGCAAGTAATTTGCTTAACACTGAAATAAATCTTTTCTAATGCTTTGGTGCTGTAAATTGATTAGAATAAATTATACAGTACATGTTCTTTCATTCAAGAAAGGCTTCAGTCCATGAACTGAGTATGAGACATCAAATATGGTCTCAAATCCCATAAGAGATTTTCCTCCTGCCCTCATTTTAGATTTTTTTTGAGACAGGTCCCACTATGTAGTTCAGGCTGGCCTCAAACTCATGGTGATTATTTTGCTTCAACCTCCTGAGTTCTGGGATTATAAGCATGTGTCACTGCACCTTACTATCTCATATATTTTTTCAAAATGTTATTTATATAAATAGTAATGATATACACCATGGATTCTTTTTTCAATTTTCATTATTGAACTTATGCTTCAATGATACCTGGGGGGGAACCACTTGTCACATTAAATACTTTATCACTTCTCCTACATTTGAATATAACACCAAAATGCATTGAAACTATTTGAATACTACTTATTTGATGGGTCTGAAGGATTTTCATCTTAATAAATGAAATTCCTCATGACTAGTAGCATTTTGGAAATTTGTGAGGACTCAGATAATGGGTCACAATTTTCCTCATCACAGTCTTCATATCTTTATTCCTTAGAGTATAAACGATGGGATTTAAGACAGGAGTGAAAATGGTATAGAAAATGGCAAGAACTTTATCCACAGGATATGTAATAAAAGGCCATGCATAGATAAAGATACAAGGTCCAAAGAATAATATTACTACTGTTATATGGGCAGCCAGAGTAGAAAGTGCCTTGGTCATTGCAGCTGAAGACCTGAACCAGACTGTTACAAGAATAGTGATGTAAGAGCTGACCAAGACTGAGAAAGTGCTTAGGGAAAGAATGCCACTATTCACCACAATTAGTATTTCAGTGACAGAAGAGTCTAGACAAGCAAGTTTGGTCACTCGAGGGAGGTCACAAAAAAAGCTGTCTACTATATTAGGGCCACAAAAAGGTAGGTTCACAGTAAATGATAACTGGCTTAAAGTGTGCACCAAACCCACAGCCCAGGAGATTATTACCAAGATAGTGCATGTCTTTTGTTTCATGATGATCAGATAATGTAGGGGCTTGCATATGGCCACATACCTGTCATAAGCCATGGAGACAAGTATTACCATTTCCCCTCCAGTAAAAAGGTGAATGAAGAAAATCTGGGCTATGCAGCCACTGAATGATATAGTTTTGTGTTCTCTCAAAAGATCTACAATCATCTTAGGTGTAGCAAAAGAAGCCTGACAGATATCAACAAAGGAAAGGTTTCCCAGGAGAAAATACATGGGAGTGTGCAAACTGGCATCAGAAGTCACTGCGATGATAATGAGGAGGTTCCCTAACACAATGACCACATATAAGATGGAGAAGAAAATAAAAAAGAAAAATTGGAGTTCCTGAGAACTTGAGAGTCCCAGCAACACAAACTCAGACACCACTGAAGAATTGATCTTCTCCATAGATCCAGGTTCCATACTCCTGTGAAATGACCAACTCTAAAGGAGAAAAAATAAAAATAGATTAGAGCTATAAACCAACAGTAATACTAAGCATTATGAGAAATAAGATATACTGTACATTATGAAGGGGTTCTAAAAATAGGGGAGATTGGATTAAGGGGAATGGAAGGGGATAATATGTGATATGCATAATTACTAATATCTTTGATGAAGGTATTTATGATATCACTAGCATATGCTAATAAAAGGAAACCAGATTTTAAAAGACCATGATAACATATCTGGACAACAGAAAAGAGTTTACAATAATGTCTAGATAATGCTTAATAACGCGATTAGACTCAGCAGAACTCCTTGACTTTCTGGATAGTTTTTATCTGTTGCACAGTCATTAACAATTTCACTCATGAACTGTTTTGGGATAAGATTAAAATGACTTAAAAGTCTACTTCCACAGATTTTTTAGAAAGTAAAGTCAGTTAAGATATGGTGGTCTTATGGTCATTTTCCATCATAAATTCAAACAAATCTTTAAGTATAATATTTTCTTTAACTCTCTAAAAGTTACTTGTTGCTTAAGGTTTATTGCATAAAGACACACTTATTGTTTAGCTTTAAGCTATTTTTTCTGAGCTTTAATTTTCATCTTAAGATAGAAAGTGTAAAACTACATACTTTACAGCGATAACTAATGGTATTCTACTATGAAAGCAATCAAATTGTAATAGATATTTTTATCTCTATTATGGCTGTTGAGTAACTGTACAATAATTTATCTTATGCTGCTGGAGGAATCACACAATTTAGAAAACTCCAGCTAATAAGAAGATACTGCTGACTTCATGTTATCTATATCAAAATAGTAGGTCAATTACTTGTCCATATGATATATTGTAATATATATATATATATATATATATATATATATATATATATATATATAGAGAGAGAGAGAGAGAGACTTACCATAATAATGTCAAACTCATAATTTCTTTATAAAATCAAGACCTCCCTAAATTCTCATGTTCTGTATGCATCACTCTCAGAATTTAGTGTAGAAATGTACACAGAGTAAACTCACTATAAATCTTAGTGTCAGTTGAAATATATTTCACTTCACTTCTATCAGTCAATCAGTATATTTACATTCTTATCTTTCTATGCCACAACCCTTCCTAGTGAATCATTTTGAATTTTTAAAAAATATTAAATAGTTACACAAACTTTATAAAGAACAAAATTTTTATAAGAAATAAAAAAAATCATCTCATTGGTAAAACAAGATCATAATACCAGGCCCAATAATCAGTTAGCAAATGCAAAGAGAATAAAAAAAAATCAGTTGAATTTCAGGATAGAAAAGAGAGCTGAAATTCTTGCATTGGAAATGATTCATATTTAGATTATTAAGTTTTAAGTGTGATAGGAATGAGAATTTTGAAAAATGGTACTCTATTTCTATAGAGTAAAATAACTCTGTTTTATATACTTGTAACTGAAAAGCAAAAATAAATTTCTGGTATAAACATGGAATAAATCCAAATGCATTAGCTGAGCTTGACATTTAAACATTACCATGATTTTAAAAAGCTTTACCCTACAAAATAGATATAAATGATATATAAGTACAGATATGATCTTGATTATTTTTAGATAATGAGTAAGAGAATCATAATTCTTTGTCTTTCCTACTCTCTCCAAGAATACGTCAGCATCCTAAATAACGTCTAATAGTCTTCCTAGTATGAACATGCTCATCCTGATTCACTTTGTAGTATTTAGAATATACTATGCTCCCCTATGTGTGTATAATGCAATGATTGAATAGAATACATAACTAGACACAATCTATTATATTTTTAATATACCTCTTTTTCAAAAGATCATACCTGTTACAATGCATATCAGAGATATAAGCAGAATCCTCAATTTTCATAATATGGTGTTAATGTTTTCCAAGTAATCATTTATAGCTACCTTCTGTTTCTTTCCAACTGGAAGAATATAGGAATTTAGCCAAGTGACCACTTGAGACTTTTTAAATTTAGCAACAAATATTCAAAGTTCATCTTTCAATGGGAATTATCAATAACTACCATTAGACATTCCCTCTGGAGCAAAGTAAATAATATCTCACATTATTCAATATTATGATAAGGACCATCAGACTATAGGTAAAATAGAGACATTTAACTCTTAGAAAGCAAATAAAATAAAATGCCTTCTTTGCTTTCTACTTGTAACCATGCTTCTCCAGGGAAAATGTGTGGAAAGGTATGTTCCTTTACTTAAATGAGAAATGTCTTGACTTTGGGAATTCAAACTAATATTATACCCATACCCAGTTCATCTGCTGAAATGGATGAAAGGTTCCTCAACTTCAATGTAGAGGATATGGTTACTTTTCTAAATTCTACCAATAACTAAAAGAAAATTATTAAGACAACAGCTTTCCCTCTTAGACTTCAAATTACCTTTATATTTGATTAATTTTAATATTACAAAGACACATTCAGAAAAATCTATGACATGAATAATTTTGTATATAATGGTAATTTTTGCCAAATTTTAATACTCTTCTATGTTTTCATTGGGAATAAAATATGATAATTGAAAACATCATGCAATACCTCACAACAATAAAGACCTAACACATGAGTTTGGTATTTAGCATCCTATAATTCTACAAGTGGTTTTCCTAAGCACAGATATATCTACAAAGAAATTTAGAGTTTGCACTTACTTGTTTATTTAACTTCATTGAATTTGCATTAGAAACACACATACCTTTAGTCCACTCATTTAATGTTGTAAGTTTTTCCATTGTATGAATACACTGCTTATTGTCCATTTAGTAAACAGACATCGGGTCATTTCTAACTCTTGCAACTATGAACAATAAAATCAGCATGTACATGAATAAATGTGAACTCAGTGTTCTCCACAATATAATACTAGATGAGTAAGTGCTAACTCATCATAGTCTAAGCTTTCAATATTGGTAGATATTTTCATATTGTCCTACAAAACCATGACCCAGTTTGTGCTTAACTTATGAATTTACTACCTCTCACTCATGAATGCATCTTTTAACATATATTTTGTGATGAGTAACAGAATTCCTTTGTTATTTTTCTTTAAACAAGGACAACTCTAATTTTTCTCAATGGAGTATATCAGAGGCACATTGTAAGAGAAAGAAACTCTTACTAATTCAGGCATCTGTTAAAATTAGCAAAGAATGTTGATCTGACTATATCAAGTAATGCCTTCCCCAGCTATGGGAGGGCACAAAATATGGTCCTTCTGTGACTCTGAAACCAAGATCTTTTCATAATCTCTCTGCACTCTCTCTTACTATAGAAACCAAGGCTTTCTGTTCTGAGTGGCTTTCTGTAGGTGCCAGCACCTTAACTTCTTTTAAACTCCCAGAATTCTAGTTTCTGATCACCTACTTTCAGGATTGCACAATTTGCTCATTATTATTCTATTGACTTTGCATTTTAATATACTAGTGGGCATATTTATGGGGCACAGTGTTGTAATTTTACTCTTGTATCTAACATGTAATACTCAAATTAGATAATTTAACATTTTAATTGCCATATTAAATATCTTCATTTCTATCTGTTGGCAAATGTAAACTATTTTTGTCTAATTATATCACAGTGTATAATTTAGGGCCTGACAGATAGCCCAGTGGTTTAAAGTACCTGTTTAGGAAGGCGCAGGGGCTGTGGTTGGATCCCTGGAATGACATGCTGCACAGTCCCTGCACCTAGTATGTTCTAAGATATCAACTGAGACTGTGTGTGGTGGCACATGCCTGTGAACCCAGCACTTGGGAGGCTGAAAACAGCAGGATCACTATGAGTATGATCTGTGTAGTGAGATCCTGAAGACTCTATAATAATACATAAAAAACAAAGGGTATAATATTATAGATCATACTCCTATTGTACCATACAATAATAGGTCTACATCTTCCTCCTCTGACTGTGATTTGATTCCCATTATGTACTCTCACCATAACCTACTCATTTTTAATACTCTAATGATTTTCATTCAATTCTGTGAATTTAGCAAATATTTTACTGGTACTTTTGTTCAGTGATATTTTTGTTTTATGATGCTTTCAAATAACTAATGATTTAAGTGGCTGGGGATATGGCTCAGTGGAATAAGTGCTTCCCTGGCAAGCTCAAGGGCATGAGTTCAAACCCCAGTACCGCCAAAAAAAAAAAAATAAATAAAATGAAAAATAACTAATGATTTGGAAGTTTCTGTGTCATTCCTTGTAATTCTGTATGCATGTTTTGAGGCTTTCATTAGATTTATATGACAGTCCCAAGCTTATGATAGTTTCATTGATAACTTATTGAATTTATGCATGAGAATGTGCCATATGTTCACTAGAAACCATGCTTAAAACTTTGATGCTTTTCCAGGCAATCAATATGTTTGTACTCTCTCCTGTAACACTAGGCAATAAGAGCCAGCCTCAGCTCAAAATCAGTCATGAGATCAAGAGGATAGCCACTTGATATGCTATAGCTTATAAGTTGCTGAGTTATAATGTCAGGTAGGTTGGGGTATATTAACTTTGTTTTTACTTCTGATGAATTTCAGGGTGTGACCACACTATACATGAATAAGTGCTTTTATAAGTTTAGGAAAATAATATAAACTTGGAGAATATTTTTATTAATTTTATTGAGAAATAACAATGAACCAGTTTCAAAACAGGTTAGTAGAACAGTTACAATATTTAATACATATTGCTATTGTTATCTTCGTAGTAGTTATTCATAGTACAAGATGCAGATGTGATATCCTGTCCAAACACTATTGGTACAAATCTTTCTTCTCACTGAATTAAGAGAAAGTAACTATATATCTATCCTAATATATATATATATATATATATATATATATATATAATATATAAAATATATATACATATTATATATATATATTTTTTTTTACTACAAAATGGTCCT